GTCCCAAAATAATAGCTGGGAATGACGTGTCCATTGCTGGCCAACTGATCCAATGTATTGATCGCATAGTAATCGTCGACAACAACCAGTTTGGAGTCAATGAACGAATTGAAACATATTGTCAATAATGTTACGCAAACCAAAACTATACATAAAACGCCCTTCAAATGGGCGCCCGTATGGGCTAATGGAAGGGAAAGGTTGTGAAAAATACACTATAGGAAAATTTATATACAATTTACTAATGAAATTACATTGTTTGAAAAATATTCCTAACAGTTCCATAAAATATTTTCCTATTGTGTACCGATTTGTAACATTTTTGTTAATTCTGGCGTAAATTATGGTTATAATAATTAACACCAATTGCGTGATGAGTAATAGTAGCCAAACCCGGCGCTCAACGCACCCAATATAGCCGGTGACCTGCGGTCGGCCATTGCGGTCAGTGTTGGTCAGTATAACGTATGGCTCGTACATCACTACCGACGAGAATATCATATTTTTCCGGCGTTCATTTGTTATTTCCAGGGGTGTTATAGATATGTGGCAATTCTAATGGGATTTCCAATGCAAAACATAATGCTTTTCATTAATTAGTTTTGCGTTTAATTATGTAAATGTACATTATTTAATGTATTTAAATTACATTATTAGCAACTAATCCAAGCAATCCATCCCACGATCCGTTGTCCAGTTTTGTGCCAAAGTTTGCCGTATCTGTCGGTGTCTGAAATGTGTAACTGTTGTTTTTGGATAGAAAACATGGTTATAATTTGAATTTAAATGTTGAATTTATTATATTTATTTATAATAATTAAATGTGATATTTTACGTTTGAACTCTTAAGCGCTTAGCAATTATATCAAATAATTGCCGGAATATTCCCTTAAATACTAGTGTTGTATTAATTTTGATGAATGATGTGAACGGATCCCACTATTATTAATTTTATTTATAAATACATATTTACTACTGTATACAGTATACAAGTTATAATTATACTCACATTTGCCCCACAAATTGTTATATTCATAATAATCACGTTAAATTAATTATGACAATTAGTTTAATTAATAACGGACATTACAATATACATGTCTATTTAGAAATAATTATAATCATTTATTATAAAAACATTATTTAATAAAAATTAATTGGCAAGGTTTCTATATAAATATTACCATCTTAACCTTTGTATGATTTCTATAACTAACTTTCCTTTAAGTCACCTGACATTAAATAAATGTTTATTGTATTGAATTTAATGTAATATTATTATAAAACTATTTATTCTTTAACATTAAACATTTTTTTACTTTTATGAAAAAGTATTGTTTGAATGGAAAATTTATTTTATTAAATAAATAATAGTAATGATGGTAATAATAAAAATACAATTAAATTTTATTTGTATGTAGCAACAAACCATGTAACAATGTTACAACAGACAAATAGGTTTTAGAATTCAACATTCTAAAATTTTTAAATATATTTATACAGAATTAAATTAATTTTCACTTTTTTATTGATGATTAAAATACTAAAACTTTTGTAGAATAGGTTAATAACTTTGCAAAATTTTATAAAGTTAAAAATTTATTTAATGAAAAATAATAAAATTATACTTATTATCACTAAACATATCCTAGCTTTACAACCATATTAATTTTATTATCTATATTTTGACATTTAGTAAATTTAGTAAACAAGGCAATATATTTTTATAACCATAAAGCAATATTCCACTTAAAAAATATAATAATTAAGCAGTTTATTTAATAATATTTTTTTGACGTCAATACAAACTAGTAATAAATATAAGCACTGTTTAGAAAGTAATTAAATTGATAACACAATCAATTACTTATAGATTAATTATCGTTATAAATATAACACAAAATTATATATAAACACAAACATTACTTGTAATTAAATTACAAACTGTTTAATCGTAATTAAAAGTAATTAAGTTAAAAACATATAAAATCTTTAGACTATATCTCAAATATGTCTCAAATTAATTGCTGGAGATTTTTGTCCCGAAGAACCGTAAAAATATAGATAATAAAATTAATATGGTTGTAAAGCTAGGATATGTTTAGTGAT